TAGTAGTAGTAGTAGTAGTAGTAGTAGTAGTAGTAGTAGTAGTAGTAGTAGTAGTAGTAGTAGTAGTAGTAGTAGTAGTAGTAGTAGTAGTAGTAGTAGTATTAGGAGTAGTAGTCGTAGTAGTATTAGTAGTAGTAGTAGTGGTAGTAGCAGTGGTAGTAGTAGTGGTAGTAGTAGTCGTAGTAGTAGTAGTAGTGGCACTAGTAGTAGTAGTCGTAGTAGTAGTAGGAGTAGAAGTAGTAGTAGTAGTAGTCGTAGTCGTAGTAGTAGTAGTAGTAGTAGTAGTAGTAGTAGTAGTAGTAGTAGTAGTCGTAGTCGTAGTCGTAGTCGTAGTCGTAGTCGTAGTCGTAGTCGTAGTCGTAGTCGTAGTAAGTAGTAGTAGTAAGTAGTAGTAGTAGTAAGTAGTAGTAGTAAGTAGTAGTAGTAAGTAGTAGTAGTAGTAATAGGAAAGAGGATGAAGGGGGAGGAGGAGGAGCGAGGAGGAGGAGGAGGAGGACGGAGTGAGGAGGAGCAGGAGGAGGAGGAGGAGGAGCAGGAGAAGGAAGGGTGGAGGAGGGGGGAGGAGGGGGGATGGGGAGGGGGGGGGAAGGAGGTGGAGGAGAAGGCTGGATAAGGGGAGCCTGCAGGTCCGACTTGTGCGGGTCGCCGTGCCCCGTCCCCAGCACGATAACCGTCCGGGCGGAGCCTCGGTCGGTGCGCGCGCCCGCGGCTCCGGGCTCGATGCACGGCGATGCTCGCGCGTCGGGGGACAGGTCCCAGGCTCGCACACGCGCAGGGCGTGATGATGATGATGATGATGATGATGATGATGATGATGATGATGATGATGATGATGATGATGATGATGGTGCTGATGATGCTGCTGATGATGATGATGATGATGATGGGGATGATGCTGATGATGCTGATGATGATGCTGATGATGATGACGATTCTGATGATGATGATGATGATGATGACGATGATGATGATGAGTGTGGTGCTGCTGATGATGCTGCTGATGACGATAGTGATGCTGATGCTGTTGCGGATGCTGAGGCTGCTGCGGCTGCTGATGGTAATGATGCTGATGCTGCTGATAAGGGGTGATGATGACTATGCTGATGCTGTTGATGATACTGATGGTGATGCTGGTGATGAATAAGATGACGACGATGATGATGCTGCTGCTGATGATGATGCTGCTGATGATGATGATGATGATGATGATGATGATGATGGTAAGGATGCTGATGGTGATGCTGTTGTTGATGAGGATGGTGATTACGACGACGATGATGATGACGATGATTATGATGATGATGCTGATGATGATGATGATGATGATGGTGGTGATGATGATGCTGATGATGATGACTATTATCATGTTGATGATGGCGCTGATCACGCCAATGCTGCTGCCGCGCGCCAGGCTGCTGCTGTCATCTCTCCCGCCTCCCGTGCCCCATCTCGACGCGCCCCCTCCTCTTCCCCCTTCCTATTGGCTGCTGCTCCTCCTCCGTCCTTCCTCATCCTCATCCTCCTTCCTGCTTCCCGCTTCCTCCCTCGGACCTCCTCTCACCCCATCGTCCTCTTACTCCCTCATCCGTGTCTACTACCCCATCACCCATCCCCCTCTTCTTCCTCTCGGCCGCTAAGAGGGAGAGGGCAGAGGCGGGCCAAGAAGCAAAAGCATGGAATTTCAATGAGCAGGGACTGCATGACCTCAAAGAAAACAAGCATAGCTCGATGAGCTCGCCCAGCTGTGATGAACAACAGGGCCACATATGGTACCTCTGATACTACAGGCCAGACGACCAAGACGCTCGTACCACAAAACCGCAAGGTAGATACCGTGACGAACATCTTGATGCAGAACACGATGCCAGAGCAAGACGGCTGCCCCCTCCGAGTCACATGATGACGGAGAGGAAGGAGGAGAAAAGGAAGGAGACGCTCCATGAAGATGGGAGAATTGAGCTACATGTTGATACCTGAGCCCATCAGCAGCAGAAGCACTGTGCGAGGTGGAGTCGTCTCGTCCACGCCACCACGCAACACCAGCACAGCCCGCCTGGCCGCGCCGTGCCAATCTCGGAGGCGACGATAGGGGCGAATAGCCCAGGGGCGGGCATTACACGTATTCGCCCGGGAGCCTTTTCGAAGGCATAGATCATCGGCGCACCTGGACACATGTATTTCTCTCCCCTCGGCTGTTCGCCCCTATCGTCGCCTCTGCCAATCCCAGGAAGCGACGGGGGCGGATAGGTAGGAGGGCCGACTTCACGCAGGAGGGACCCTGGGTAAAAGTGTCCTCTGCTGCGCGGCTTTCTGGGGGCCGCGGGGGGACCAACCACAAGCGCGCAAGACGCTACCACCGCATCGCGTTCGGCCGCGCCAAAGGTCACTCCAGCGAAGGGTCACTCTTACAGTCAGCCCGTATGATAAGGATGCGCGGTAAGGATGCAAGGGCCTGGGGCAGTCAAGGCTGGCCGGCCAACAGGAGTCGCTGAGGATGGGCGAGCTGCGAAGCCGCGAACTGCGACCTGCGAAAAGTGCACCGCGAGGGTGCCGCAGGGAGGGGCCGAAGCGCCCAGATTGGGGTGAAACGTGCAAACAGTGCGTGGCGACGAGGCTACACTTAGCACATTCCTCCTCAAGGCTCGTCCATTCGACTGCGCAATCCGTACAAGAATGTGCAATGCATCACATGGCGCCCCGGCCTTCACCATAATGTCTCTGTCAGCGTCGTCCCATGAGTCAAAGTGCAATTAGGAGACACAAAGCAAATCATCCAACCATCGCCGTTTAGGTCGGTGCTGTCGCCGCCGAGCGCCAAGATCGAGATGATCATGTGGTTCCCACGATAAGACTCTGCATGCCCATTCGGACTGAGATGTAATCAATAATGTGTGAACCCATTGCCATTTTCGCCGATGTTGCTGACGAATCCAATCTTCTATGTGAAAGTCCAGAACTCGTTCGGCTTCACGTGTGCATCCTTTGATCCATCGTGTCCAAGGCTCCCATTCCACGAGGTAGGGAGGGGGAAGTATGCAAGGTGGGTCGCCAGAATATGTTCATATCCACTGCAGCGGGGTCGTGTCCCAGGGACTCGGGGAGATCTCCAGGACACGACTCCGAAGCGGTGGGTGTGGGCATATTCTGGCGGTGGGCAAGGGTACCCTTGGGAAGGCAGCCCATCCTTACTGTGCGGGTTGACTGCACGTGCAGCCGAGAGGGGTACGAGGGAGAGGTGCACGGTTTCCCCCGGGGCCGTAGGCGACCCGAGGAGGAGGAGGAGGAGGAGGAGGAGGAGGAGGAGGAAGAAATGGAGGAGGAGAAGGAGGAGGAGAAAGAGGAGGAGAAGGAGGAGGAGAAGGAGAGAGGAGGACGGGTCGCCTAAGCCCTTCGGAGAAACCCTCCAGGGAGCGGCTGTGTGGCCACTGGATGCCACTGACACGCTGGGCCCGCCGAGACGGCGTCGGGCGAGCCGGGCGGTGGAAACAGGTGCAGCATCGCAAAACGTCACGACCGAGGACGACCCTGAGATCCGACGCTCCAGAAAAAGTTGGAGCGGCGGGATTTGGGGCGATTTTACGCCTTCGGGGGCCCTCGCCGGGCCTCGGGAACGTCAAGAAACGAGTCAGGACGAAAGACCAGTCCCGGGGAAGTGGTCCAGACCTCCGGGGGCCACGCATCGAAAAAGTCGGAGCAGCCGGATGTCTGGGGATGACGCTGACGATGACGATGACGAGGACGTAATCGTCATCGCAGTCATCGTCATCGTCCTCATCGTCACTCCTGGACACCATGTTTTCCTGCGGGGCGTGTCGGGCCAGAGCGAGCTGTGGTGGCCCTGGGGGCCCAAGACCGGGCGAAAGCGCTCGGTGTGAGCCAAATTGCAACGCCCTCACGGGCTTTTGCTGTTTTTTGCTCCCGTCGTTTGACACCCTCACAGGGGCTCGTAGACCCCCCCAAACCAAAAAAAATATATCACGACGAAATGAGAACACGTCTTGAGTCCACGAACCCCCTCCTTCCCCGAAGACCCGAATTTGACCCGAATTTTGGGTTTGGGGGGGTACGGGTTCCATGTGTTTTTTCGACGTTCCCGACCCCCCCCCCACTGGAAATGGAGGGCAAATTGAGACCCTCGGGTTGGGTTGGGGTGGTCTGGTAGGTGGTGACTGTTGGCGATCCAGTGGGCGATTGGGGGTCGATGCGTTCCCCCGGAAGCCTTTGCCCCCCTGACGTTGCCCATGAGATGAATTACAGCCCATTTCGGGGATGGACAGACCCCCCTTTAGCAAAACGTGGTTTAGGTGAAGGTTCCTCGCCCCCTCCTTCCCCCACGGTGAGGCTTCGGGTGGCGCACGCCCGGCCTGCACAGGTCGTCCCAGCTGGCCTCGGCAGGCCCCCCGAGCAGCCCAGGGCGGTCTCCGCAGCTAGCCTGGCGCCGTCTCCGGCGGCGCCCCTCGGGCGCTGGGCGCTCCGCTGGGGCTCTGTAAGAACGGTTTTTTGAAGGCAGATCTGCCTTCAAAAAATAGTCTACTCTGTAAGAACGGTTTTTTGAAGGCAGATCTGCCTTCAAAAAATACTGGTCTACTCTGTGGGCGGTTTTTTGAAGGCAGATCTGCCTTCAAAAAACCGTTCTTTTTGAAGGCAGATCTGCCTTCAAAAAACCGTTCTTACAGAGTAGACCAGTCTTTCCTCCTTGCTGGGGCCACCCGGGGGAGCTGTCCGGACAGATCGGCGATGGGCGCCCGACGTCGGATCCGAACGGTCCTTGGCGGGCCGCGCTGTCGGGCACCCATCGGCGATCCGTGGCCGCGTGGGGCTCGGTGCGGCCCCCTCCCCCGAGCCTGTCCCACCCTGACCCTGCCACTGATGCCTCCACAATTACTCAATATGAAAATACTTTCCCTCTTCCCCTGATGGCGTCCGGGTGATGGCCGCGCACCCTCCGCGTACTGTTTTTTTACACACAGGATTCCCGGGAAATCCCGGGAAACGACTCGCGCTGAGGCGCCGGCGCCATTTTTTCCCAAAATGCTGCTCTCGTTGAGGCGCCGGCCTCATTTCTGCTCCCGAATCGTTCCGAATCGTGCTCCCGCTGCAGCGTGGGCCTCATTTTCGGATCGGTGTTTGGCCTCCGTCGTTCAGGATGGCGTTCTCGCCCCAGCGCGGGCCTTTTTCTCGCGCGCCCATCCGCCCGCCACCACCGCGCCGCACCGCCACCACCACCACCACCACCACCACCACCACCACCACCACCACCAGCACCAGCACCAGCACCACCACCACCACCAGCACCACCAGCACCACCACCACCACCACCACCATCACCACCACCACCACCACCAGCACCACCAGCACCACCACCACCACCAGCACCACCACCACCACCATCACCACCACCACCACCACCACCACCACCACCACCACCACCACCACCACACCACCACCACCACCACCACGACAACCACGCACACACGCACGCACGCACGCACGTGCACCACCACCCACTACGCACGCGCGCGCGGAGCCACAGGTCCGCTACGACACGCGTCCGCGGATAGAGAAAATCAGCGCCATGGTAAGGGATGGGAGGGAGGGGTAGGACGTCAGATATGACGCGAGCGCACCTAGCTTGCCCCCCCCCCCCTCCCCCCGCCTCCTCACCTTGCTCCCGCTCCCCCAGGCCCTCCTCCTCGCCCCCTATCGGCCACGACTGGGCGGTCTGACCTTTTCACTCGTCGGCGAGGGATGGGCGCTGGGAGGTCGATGCGTCCCCCCCTGAGCCTGCCTCACCCTCGGAACGCCCCAACGTTTCCCCTCAGGGGCAACGTTAGGCGCTCGGGGGTTCGACATCTGGGCTTCGACGTCTGGCTGAAGGGCGAGCGAGGGGTGTGGGGTCTGACGTCTGGGCCGCTGCCTAGTTGATCTGCTTTTGCCACGCGCGCAAGCAGACGAACAGAAGCGGGCCTGACCAGTCGCCATAATTGAACGCCCAAAGAACCGAATCTCTGGTCTCTTAGCCGCCCCTGATACGCAACACGCAGCACGTAGCGTGCTCATACAGAGCTCAACACGTGGACTGAAGACGTAGGACTGACGCGGTACGTCCGCCGAAACGTGGGCCAGCACGTTGAGCCAACACGCAACGTATTGACATGAACGCTTTCAGCACGGTACGTGCTGCGTTTCAAGATGGGCGCATCGAGGCAGCTAGATCAGGTCTGTGCGAGTGGGAGGGGCGGGTGCAAGGATTGAGCAGGGGCTGACCGTCCTGGCATTCCCAGAGGCCTACCACGACATGTTCCTAGAACCCAGAAGTGTTCTAAGAGCCAAACCAATGTTCTTTGAACATACGCCCGATGCGTTTAAAACAAAACAGTCTCAGCCAGATATGCCTCAGAACATTTCGTGCAGACCACAGAAGGTTCTTAGAACATTCTTTGGTGGGCCTATAAGCAAGCAGAGACGCTTCGCCACTGCTTGAAAGAACTCGCACCGATCGGCGAAACACGGATTAAGTTATTCAGGCGGAGGACCCAACCATGTGCAGCTGTGAGTAACGCCGTTGTGGGTATCGTCCTACGACGCGTGTGACGGGTGTGCCACTATGGGCACGGGTACGCCATGTGGGCGCTGCCACTAGAGCCGTCGGTGGAGCTCCCTCTGGAGCCACAAAACGTGTGAGGGGTGGGATGCAATGCACGGTGGAACCGCGGGCGGACCCTGCCGCTGCAGCCCTCGGTGGAGCACCCTATGGGGCCACGAAGCGTGTGAGAAGTGCGCCGAAATGGGGATGGAACTGCATGCAGACACTGCCACTGGGGCCTTCGGTGGAACACCCTACGGGGCCACGAAACGTGTGAGAGGTACGCCGAAATTGTGGTGGCTTTCCATGCGGACTCTGCCAGCGGGGCCTTTGGCGGAGCACCCTTTGGGGCCACGAAGCGTGTGAGGGTGCGCCGAGATGCAAATGGAACTGCATGCGAACCTTGCCAGTGGGGCCTTCGGTGGAGCACGCTACAGGGCCACGAAGCGTGTGACGGGTGTGCCGAAATGGAGGTGGAACTACATGCGGACCCTGCCACTGGGGCCGTTGGCGGAGCACCCTATGGGGCCTCGAAACGTGTGAGAGGTGCGCCGAAATGGGGTGGAACTGCACGCGGACCATGCCACTGGGGCCCTCGGTGGAGCACCCCATGGGGCCTCGAAACGTGTAAGAGGTGCGTCGAAATGTGGGTGGAACTGAATGCGGACCCTGCCACTTGGGTCTTGGGTGGAGCTCCCTATGGGGCCACGAGGCGTGTGAGGGGTGAGCCGAAATGTATGTCGGGGACGCATGCGGGCGGCATCATTTTGGCCTTGAGCGGAGCTTCCCATGGGGCCACGAAGCGTGTGACGGGTGTACCGACATGGGTGGCGGGGACGCATGGGGGCGGCATAATTTGGGCCGTAGGTGGATCTCCCTATGGGGCCACGACGCGTGTAAGGGTTGTGTCGAAAAGAATGGCGGGGGCGCATGCGGGCGGCATGAGTTGGGCCTTGGGTGGAGCTCCCTATGGGGCCACGAAGCATGTGAGAGGGTGCCAAAATGGTTGACCGGTGCGGAGGGCGGAGGCAGGGATGGGAGGAGGAGGAGGAGGGGGAGGAGGAGGAGGAGGAGGAGGAGGAGGAGGAGGAGGAGGAGGAGGAGGAGGACGACGAGGAGTAGGCGCTGGGGCGCTGTCCCTTCGAAACGAGGGCCCAACACCACAGGATGGTCAGGGAAAAACGCGGACGGCCTTCGCTCCGCCACCCGTTCCGCCGCCCGCCGCCCGGCCCCAAGGAGGCCCCGCCTGTGCTCACGCGCATGAGGGAGTTCACGGAGTGCGGGCAGCCCTGCCAGACCTTGCTGGCGGCGCGCCCAATGGGGGCGGGGGAGGAGGCTGCTTCTTAGAAGGCGCGGGCCCTACTTCTGTAGACAAGGCCCGCGCCTTCCTTCTGAGAAGCAAGTGTGCCTCTAAGAACCCCCCCCTCCCTTTATCACCCTCCGCGCGCCGCCAACCTTGACATTGTGCATCTGGAGGTCTCTGTGCTGGGAGCCCCGGCTTTCCGGCGAGGACAGAGGGCGGAGGGGAAACGGAGGAGCGGAGGGGGAGACGGAGGAGGAGGAGGATGACGAGGAGGACGAGGAGGAGGAGGCGGAGGAGGAAGAGGACGAGGACGAGGAGGAGGAGGAGGAGGAGGAGGAGGAGGAGGAAGACGAGGAGGAGGAGGGCACAGAGAGGAGGAGAGAGGAGGAGGAGGAGGAGGAGGAGGCGGAGGAGGAGAGGAGGAGGAGGAGGGAGGAGGAGGAGGAGGAGGAGGAGGAGGAGTGAGGAAGGATGAGGAAAGGGGAGCGGAGGAGGAGGAGGAGGAGGAGGAGAGAGGAGGAGGAGGAGGAGGAGGAGGAGGAGGAGGAGGAGGAGGAGGAGGAAGAGGAGGAGTAGCGAGCGCATGAGGGGACGCGCCGAATCGGGAAACGGGACAGAGAACAACGATTGGGAAAAGGTGAGAACGCACAATCACTCACAGACTGTATGGGGAACACGAGAGGGCAAGCCCAACCATATCCCCTCGCACGCACCCGTCGACGGGCCCATGCACCAGATACAGGCCAGGAGGCTGGCCTGGGCTCGGGGCCGATCGGATCACCAGGCCCCGCACAGAGACATTAAAAACAAAACGAATTGAACCGAATTCAGGTAGCTAGGCCAAGCCACTCCACAGCGGGGTCCGAGACCAACATGCGCCGAGGGAGGGGGATGGGGTGCTTGCGGCCCTCGCAGGGGTGACGACCCTCGGCGAAATTATTCCGCCTCCATTTCCTCTGAGGGTTCCCCTCAAAGGCTTTGGGGCCCTCGCATCCATTATAAAGCTGGGATCGGTGAGCACGCTCCGAAAAAGATCCGCAACGCATGCATCCAACCACGTCGCCCGCACGGTGGAGCACATGGCCTCGGGAGGCCTGAGGGGGGACCGTCCCCTCCGCGGGGAGCACCGTGCTGGGAGGGGCGGCGTTGGCCCTCGTGGTGGCCGCCGCAAGGCGAGGGCGCTTCTCCAAGCCAGTCGGGGGATCAAGGGCGACCGTGGCTTCCCTAACGCGAGTCTGGACTGGCGACTCAAACTGCACTTCCGGCTTGACCCTACGGGGGGGTCGAATGAAAGCCTCAGCCTCCTCGTCCTCAGGCCTCCTAGTCTTGCCCACAATCCTAACCCTCGGGCTCGGGAACCCTCGGGCTCAGGAGGAGGAGGAGGAGGAGGAGGAGGAGGAGGAGCAGGAGGAGGAGGGGGAGGAGGAGGAGGAGGACGAGGAGGAGGAGGAGGAGGAGGAGGAGGAGGACGACGAGGAGGAGGAAGGTCAGAGGACGAAGCAGGGGAGGAGGGAGGGTCCCCGCGCAGCACCTTCCTCCCAGGGCCGTCCTCGTCCAGTCCGCCTTCCAGGCCGACGAGGCATCCCAAGGGCCTCTTGAAGGCCTGTCGGGGGCCGTGGGGGGGGGGGGCTCCGCGGGGTCACCACAGGGCAGGACTGGGGCACTGGGACCTGAGGTTCCGAGGGGCGGTGCGCTGTACACACCTCGAGGGCCAGGCGCTTCCGTCCAGATGCGGTCCGCGCGAAGCGCTGACAGTATTTACATTTCCATCCTCCAGCCAGCGCTGGCCTGACGTCGTGCAGGCGCTGGCTCAGGGTCAGAACTGGCTGCTGTCGTCCAGGCCGACGTCGTTGCTAGTGCCGTCGGCGTGGCTTGCGCACAGGCGGTGGCTGGCGGTCCTGGTTCCCAACCAACGTCATGGAGGACCCGATCCAGCACGCAACCTGCCTGACAATGTCGAGCATGTTCGAGTGGGGCTGGATGACTTCCGACGGCAACGCGTGCATAGCCAGCCCCCGCTTCGCTTCCACATCTGCATAGCCATTGCCCTTCTTGTCTACGCTTATCTCTCCTTGAGTCTGGTGCGATCGAACATAAGAGATCTCCAGCTGCGAGGACAATCCTCCGTGATCTTGGATGGCCTGCCGTAGCAATCTCCACAGATCACAATTCGGCCTGCGCGGGTGTGTGCACCGCTCAGGCCCGCACATGATGCCCTCCACGGTGCCCAGGCAGTCCGTGCGAATATGCATCGGCAGCATCCCATGTCAGCACGCGGTCCATACGCAATCCCTCGTAGAACCTGGCCTGTCATCATCGCAATCCCCCCAGCCTGCTCTGTTGGCCCCGGGCCAGGCTATGGAGGAGAGCCCTGATCCATCCGTGTAGATATCTCCCGTCAGCATGGCCATGTCACCTCCATGTGCAAACCTCCATGAGTCCACCATGGCTGGTGGCGGAATAGCAGGCAGGGCGTCCCTCGGCATCAGGCCCCTGGTGAACAAGAGGTCGTTGTGAGGTGAGGCTCGAGCTGCCTGGATAATGTCAGCATCAACTGCAGCTTCTCTTTCTTGCTGGAGCAAAGGGCAGGACCAGAGACGATGATGTACTGTTCCAGGGCAGTCCATACAATACTGGCACAAGTTGTGGGCAGCGTATCCATGTTCATATCCTCGAGCTTGGGACCACTGGCCCCCAATGATCGAGGTACGCAGTGCTGCTCGAGCCTGCTCCGACAAGTGCCACTTCTTGGCCAGCTCCTTCGGTGCCAGCAGCATCTTGAGCGGGCCCATCCAGTAGCCACAAGGTCTCCTGATTGGTGGGTCGTCCTCTGGCGCATGATCCTTCTGGCGACTCCAATCTTCAAGCTTCACGTTGACAAAGTCCCGTCTTGCTAGAACTCTGAGCCGCTCAGGGCTGTCAGTAGTGAGGTCCAGGGCTGTACCTGAGCACGTAGTCCATGTCGTCGCCGTCGTCACACGCCAATTGATAGCATGAAGTGCCACCAAGACGGCCCCTGCTGGGCCAGCTACGTCAGCGTGCTTCGGGGTAGAACCTAGTATCTGGCGCTGCTGCATGAAAGCCTTCTCCAGCACGTAGTTGGGCACCTTGGTGTCTTGGACGAGCATGGCCCACGTGTAAAGGGGGCCCACAGTCGCCATCATCTCAGGGTGCTCAAAGAAACGCGGCTCGAGCTGAGCTGCCAGCCAGACTGAAGTGCCAGGAGGAGTGCGCCGCCAGCCCACGCGAACCATGCTGACCATCGACTTGATCAGCGTCTTGGTGGCGCCCACGATCTGGATGCCGTACTGCATGGCGGGGGCAATGCATGGCTGCGCCACCGCTCGCCCGATCTTGGCCAGACCATTGAGCCTCCTGAAGCGTGGGAGCCTCTTCTTCATCTTGCGCACCCTCTTGCGAATCGTTTCGAAGCTCAGCCTGTGTCCTCCTTTAGCTTCCATGCCGAGCACCTCCAGAGTTCTGTAAGGCCGAACTCCGTGACGATGGACCTGCTGCGTGACCTGCTGCGCAATGTCAAAATCTGAGGCCAACACTTTCGCCTTGTCCTGATCAATCGGAAGGTCAAGGGCCTTGCGAACTGCGGCGGGCCGCTGCAAGATACGCACCGTCTGGTAGACAATGTCCTGCAGCGTGGCAACCACCTGGATCGTGATGTCGTCTGCGTAGATGCCCAATGAGTGGTGCACCTCGTCGGTGTTGGCGAATGGTTTCTCGAAGATGTCCAAAGGCAGCAGCGTGACCAGCTGCAGCAGGAACATAGCAACCGAACAGCCTGGGAGCACTCCCCTGCTCACCTGGCACGGCTAGGAGAAGGAGGTGGTCCATTTGATTCCCATCGGGGCGTAGTACATAGCCAGGCACAGATGCAGGATCTGTGTTGGAAACCCGTAATGTTCGGCAGCCTGCAGGACTCGACGCCAGCAGACTCGGTCGAAGCACTTGCTGATGTCCACGAGTGTGGTGGTGGTGGCCCTCCGCCTTTCATGGGCGTAGGCCTCAGCGTAAATCATGCTGCGCGCGCCCACATCTAGTGTACATGTGTGGGTGCCCAGCGCGAAATAAGGCCGAATAGTCTGTGATATCCAAATCCGAACTTGCGCAAGCCTGAGCTTCGTGTAGATACGATACGCCACAGGTAGGAGAGCTATTGGCCGAAACCCTCCTTGCGGCTTGGCAAAGAGCATGATGTGCACGTTGAGCATGACCGTCGGCCATCGCACCCATGCTTCGGCAACCCATTATATGTATATCAGCATGGCTAGGGCTGCGTCCGACACCAGAGAGAGGGCTCGAGGTGGAAGCGCATCAGCTCCAAGACCAGTGCGCCACCTGAATGTTGTTGCTGCCCTTCTCGTCTGTGCGATCGTCGGTACGGGCAAGGCCGCAGGAGGAAGGTGGCGAATCGCTGCCACGAGGTCAAGATCTTCATGATCAGCAAGTGGTCGCGGGAGGTCTGCATCATCACGACGCTCACCCTCCCAGATCTTCCTCCAACTGTCCATCTGGCTGTCTGCGATCGCCTGCGGGTGCGACGTCGTGGTCTTCCCCTGCTTGATCTGCGCATGGGCCCAAGGCTGCACTCTGGTGGTCGAGTAAACTTGCGCGGGGCCCGTGACCATCGCGTCTCGTGCCCAAGACTTGAACTTGCGAGCTCGATGCCAACCTTCTTGCCTGTCGAGCTGGTCAACGTGCGCCATGATAATGTTGGCGAAGGCCTGGAGGCACAAGAGGCACTGCAAGGGAGTCTGCTTGCAGGCAAGGTGGATAATGTCCCAGGCGCTGTCGAAGTATTGCTTGCCCTCGGCAGTGTGGACGTCCTGCCTATGTCCTGGGCGAAGCAGTCTGGCGAGATGGGTCCAGCGTGCTCGGCGCCGAGGTGATGGCACAGGACGGGCCGATATATTGCGCGCGTTCTTCGCCAGATCTTTCTGTCCTCCGAACTGCTCCTGAGAGCCTCTGGACCCCAAGAGTTCGACACCACCTGTTAGACCTTTTGGTGGCGTCGAGGCCAGGCCAGGGCCAGAATATTGAGACCGCCCGGGATGCTGGGAGACCTTCTGGCGCATTCTCCCGGCAAAGGGCGTGGCGACATCTGCGGATGGCGATGCCTGTATCCTGTGAAAGAGAGGCTCCCCCTCGTAGGCGTTCTGCTGGTCGCCGT